TTTCAATGAAAGTTAAGGGAAGAATTGAGATTATTTTGAGGAAGCATATGCCTCTATATAATTTATTTAACTTTTTATGATTACATTGGCAGTAATATAACAAAAAGAGAATTATTTAGAGAAGGTTCAATGAATAACACGAATGGGATAAGATTGGATGGTTAAGATATTCTATCTTTAGGGCATGAACTTTTTGAGTATAAGAAAGATATATTAAAAAAAGGCCTAACCCATCGGTAGCCCCTTAAATTTGGCACGAAATTTCACTTAGGCACTTCAAGTGGATGATGTTCATTTTAGACACCTCATGTAGGGTTTCGCTGTGTCATTTTGACACTTTTTGCTTACATGGCATAGTGAGTGTAATACACTTATTGAGCGCGCGTGAAAACCTATTTAGTCGATTTTTTAATTATTTTTTTCTTCTTCTTTCCCATTTTCAGCCACCATTTTTGCAAACTTAAATATCCAACATGGTGAATAAAAATAGATAAAGTAAAATGATGAAAAATGATGGAAACTATTTTAGAAATTTAGATCAAACATCTCGAAAACCCCACTACAGTATGTCCAAAAGGGAATCACAAAAAAGTATAGAAAGATCAAATGGTTCACTCCTGAATTACAGAACGAGAATTGAAGAAAAGAAAGAAAATAACGAAAGAATTGGGAATTTTTGAGTTGGGTTTCAGGGATATAGAAAAGTGACAAATGAGAGTTGCATTGGTTTATTAGGGAAGCCGGCAATGGAGATTACAGAGGCAGTGGGGAAGAAGGAAACAAGGAATTTTGTCTGTCTCTAATGGAGAAATTTTTTTGGAAATTTGTTGGGTGTCTGAGGAGTGAAGAAGCAGTAGTATAATAGTGTGAATTTTAAAGAGGAGTAAGTTTAATTTTTGGTGAATTTTAAACTTGCTAATTAGGGTAAAAAAGAAAAATTTTTTGAAGAAGAGTAGGGGTATTTGGAGAAGACGCGAGGGGGGGGGGGTTGTTTCTGCAAATGGGTATGGTTTTTCTGCAAATGAGTAGGGATATTTGGAGGAGGCGGCGGCGACGGCGGTGGCGGGTGTTTCTGCAAATGGGTATGGGTTATTGGAGAAGACAATTGCGGGGGTGGGGGGGGGGGGGGGGGATGGGGTTTTTTTTTGT